AGAAATCCGAATAAGCCCTTGCATTTTGATTCGCAGTAACCACGTTTTACAGTCCTATACCCGTGTTTCGTGTTTTCAGGCACACAAGAACAGTTGCTATATTGCTGAAAGATGCCCAATAAGGAGAATATTGTAAATATGAAAATACAGTTTTCTTTTTGGAAAAATTGGTAAATACAAAAACAACCTTATTTTTCGAATCGTATTTTTCTTCGCATCCAGCGAAACAAGGAGAAAAGAACGCGATTTGTTTCCCAGAAGTTAATTCTGCGCACACCGGATGATACTCAGTCTCAACACAATCACAACGTTTATTACACGTTGATTTGAGCATTGGTTCAAACTCCGTCCAATTTTTTATCAATAAATTTTGCAAACTGAAACAATTTTTCATTCTGAAATAAATCGATAATGAAATCCTTCAAAGTAAATAAGTAAAAACCAATAATTCAATGCACTTACTCATCTACTGGATAATGCGTTTCAATGCCAGCTAACTGGTCGTGATCACAGTATACCAGATACATTGGAGAAAGTAACAAAGAAAAGAAAAATAATGTTATGGAAAATTTCAAAGTTTTGACACAGCTCAACCGAAACCTTTGTACTATAAACCCGCTGAAAACAGTTCCCATGCCTGCCATAGGTACCATTATGCCACCTAGAAGAAAAACTGATAAGACACTTTTGAAAAAACGTTGTCAAAGTCTGAAAAATAGAAAATGATTGCAAAAAATTATACCCAACTCCCACAAATAAGACAGACGAAAAAACACAGAAAATGATCTAACCAATAAGCATATTTGCTTTACTTGGAGCGACACTGAACTGTCTTTCCAAATATTTCGACATAAAAGTCGACGCACCAGCCAGTATAAGACCTGAAAATTTACCTCTGGAGTGCACAAGGAAGGTAGCGACACAAACCATTACGACCAACCAAAAAGGTAGAAAAATTGTTATAAAGCCATTAATACATTTATATAGCAGAAGAGGACCACTTATTAGACTCACAAGTTAGATTTTCAAAAAGAGAAAACGGTAAAATTAAATTACAATATTACATTCAAAATCTTTTACCATCTACAGCCATTGCCAATGTGATAAGCATATAACTGCTGCTGCATAAGATTCGATAAATTGATATAGGTATATGTCGTACATCAAGCCAAATATGATACCATATAGGACCACGGTTATTTTGTAATGCTGGCATAGAATCGCCTATTGTTACTGTTGGGACATTTGCCTTCTCTTAAAGTTCCAATTTAAAGAAAATCGAAGTTGTCTGATTTAAAAAAGAGTAGGAAAATAAGTTCCTTGGAAACAGAAGATATTACAAATTGCTGGATAAATTACAAAAAAAATTATATTGGGTTCCCAATACTTTCTTTCGTCACTTTCGTGCACCTATTGAAAATGAAAAGTACACTTAACATAAACTAACCATCGGGATTGCTTGTCAGCAGTGGCCCACAAACCGCCGCAGTCTTGCTTGTTGACGGAATCCCACAACACTCAGGTGTGCGTCTTTTAGTTCCCAGCATAGATTCCTCATGAAGACGAGTTCTAAAACAATAAAATTAATAGTGATGGTAGTAATAATGCTTATTGTTATTTGTATTATTATTATTACAGCTGTTTAACATTATTACTATTGTCATTATCATAAAATAAAAATTAAGAAACAGTACTGAGCAAAAAAAAAAAAGATATTAGAGCTTAAAACCCAACCGGTGCCACTGGAGCGATTCTGGAAGTACTTTTGGCAAGCTTAACACCGGAAAAACAGCTGCGAGAGCCAAAGCACTAGCAATTATAAAACCAACCCACCACGCCCCTACCCATTTTGGATCCATTTCATCCTTTAATCGAATTCTGAAATACAGCAAGCTTTAGAGCAGATAATTTCAAACAAAATCTTAAAAATACAAAGATTAATTAAACTAACTTATCGTATTCCACTTGGAGAAAATCTGTATGATAGCGCAAAAAAGAGCTCTGCATCAAGAAACCAAAAGCGGGGCCAAATATTGCAAAAGCATAAAATATCCCTGAAAATTCCATCACGTTCTGTTCTAAAAACCACAAGCAGTTTTGCTCACTTGCAGAAAAAAAATTCTGTCTTGTAAATACTCACGAAGATTAACTTATGGTAAGAATTAACTTGAAATACCTAAATAAAGAGAAGAAAGAGCTGGCCCAACGTTTTCATCAATGTAGCTAACTCCTAAAGTGAAGAGTGGAGTAGCTGCTATTCCATGAAGAAAATGGGCGAGGCAGAACAAAAATACGTAACGAAATGAACCAGGCTGAAAAGATTTTTGCAACTAAATTTTGATTAATCTGATAACAAATAAGTAAAGAGAAATATTTTAGTACCTGATTTTCTGGAGAGGGACAACTTTTTAAGGCTTCAGCACTTGCTTTTGATACTGATAAAATACCAGATCCATTTTGTATACCCTCTAAAAATGTTTCCAAATTTTGTAAGGTTTAATTCGCTTACGAAAACGCTGAACAAATATAGAGTATCGAGAAGATATAGGTCCGTTCCTCCAGTTACCAAATAAAAAAAACTAGATTCACGTGTATCCAAAAAAAAAAAAAATACTGTGAGTTTAACTACTCACCTAAATAACCCGTTTCACACCTGCTATGACTCAGCTCGTCCGCATGATAAGACGAGGTATAAGATTCCGATATAGTATGTGGAAGCGTAAATATAAAACTACCGGCAGCCATAAAAATCAATCCCATAGCAAGCACCACAGGCTTTGAGTGACGCCCTCCGAAGTACGAAACAGGTATGCAGAACAAGACGTAACCAAAATCATAAAACTGTAAAAGAGTTTAGTACAATATTAGTAGAGGAATCACTGGTTTCATTCCCACTTCAATGCAACAACACCTCAAAAAAGCACCTGCATTATCCTTCCAATGGTTGAAGAAGTAAATTGAAATCTCGTTTCAATGCTGGTGATTGCAGAAGGCACCAGACCATTGACAAGTAAACCTTGGATAGCGCAATACCAACACAGCCAAAATAACATCCATTTCAGTGAACTAAACCTCTGCAACCATAACGGCCTAAAAAAGTCAGTGAGAAAGTAAACGCCTTCACAAAACTAATATCAAGAAGACATAGTGTATTACAACTCAAACAGAATTTAAAAGCAATACTTAAACAGCCAAATTCTAAACAACTTTCACCTCCGCAGATTGAGTAAAACGGTAAAACGACAACTGGTAAATCAACAACCTTCTGAGGTACTAAGAAGTGGAACTGTGGTTAAGCGGTGAAAAACAACCCATTTCACAATTCAACTACATCTTCAATCTACTCGTAAAGGAAACCCTCATTTAATATTTTATCACCAAATACCTAATCCAATTATACAGTTCTGAAACCTACGAAACAAGACAAAACAAAATAAATTATTTTGAAAGCCATTAACCTCCACTTTCGTATTCCAACTAAAGTTTCATTGGCCATAACATTAATTTCCTTCTCAATTGCTTGTATCTGCTGCTGTTTTTGCCAGACCCTAACGGTTGCCCATGATTTTTCCCGTTTTGGAGTCGGCCACGGAGGACCCGATGCGAAGCCATTATTTATATTTCTAAAAATACAGAAGATAACATTGAAAAAATCTAGAGAGTATATTGTTTTCGAAAGTAAAAGAACCACCTGTAATGGCCAACAGGTCTGCTACTTGCAGTTTGAGAAGAGGGGATACTATCACCAAACGGTGGCAGAGTCGATGAACAAGGCGTAGCGTAATTGTCTTGCCTATCTAAACCTAAAACAAATAGTAATAATAATTACAACTATAACCTTTAAAATCATTGATCATAGTCAAAACAACACTGTTTTAAATGCTGAATAAATCGTATGTCCTTTAAACAGCAAATAAACTTCTGATGTCAGTTAATCCAAAAGGTGTACTTGAAAGTCAATACAGATATACTATCAAATGGATAAGTAACTTAAGGGGTGAAAAAACTTTAAAATGCGGCATACAGCAAATGATTGCAAAAAATTACTGCTTTTACAGAAGAGAATTGTTTTCAGATTCACTGCACACCGACAATGACAAGTACACTGCTTTATCATCCTGATACTTTGCCAGCTACTACTAACAATGCGCTTCAAAAAGAAAGTAAAATAAACAAAAACTGATTTAAGCAACAGGAAAAAAAAAGAACGACAAATCACCGTCTGATGACGCTGGAAGAGCTAAATCTCCAGGGGCTGATCTAGTTTCTGCACATAGCTCATTGTCTCCGTCTGATGGCGAAGTAACTGAATCATTAGTTCCTCCCGGTAATTGTACCATTTAATTCGAAAAAAATTTTAAATTTATTGTAAATTTCTCGAAGTCCCCATACCAAAATATACGAA